AGGAGCAGGACCAGTAAACCTCATTTTACAAAGGAAGAAACATGCTCAGAGAGGGAGAGTAACTTGCCCAAGGTCATATAGCCACTAGTCACAGGGCCGGAATTTGTGCCCAGGGTTTCTGAGTTCCCATCCAGGGTCATTTTCCCTCCAAGTAACCAGGCAAAATTCTTGACTTAAGGCCATTTGATGATTGGCTCAGAGGGAGGCTTTACCTCTGCCTGGCTCCTGGCGTAGTAAGGACTGGGGTTGGTGGGGGGGTGGGGGCACAGAGGTTATCTGGCTGGTGATAGTAACACATGTGGAAGGACACCCAGGGCTCCTGCTCTGCCAGAGGTAGCACCTCCTCCCCACGAGGACAGACCCTACTTTGGGGCCAAGCACAGATCACCCCAAGGCCCCAGACTGGAGGCTGATGAGGACCGTGGAGCACTCGGTCATCCAGCTAGGAGCGGGCACAGGCAGCCTCCTTTCTGTGGCACTGGTGGGCCAACTGTGCAAAGGGGGCTGGAGGGCCCCAGTTACCAACCACCCCCCATAAGCTTTGGCTGGCAGCAGGGAGATCATCAAGGAGCCATCATCCATGCCTCAGTTTCCCTCCCTTCACACTGAATCACAGGATGTCAGAACCTACTGAGTCTAACCACCTCCCCTTACAGTCAAGGAAACTGAGGCCCAGAGAGGACAAGGAGCCTGTCCAAAGCCCACAGACGCTGAACTAGAACCCAGGCCTCCCAGCGGATTTGTGCTTTTGGACAGAGTTCCCAGCGGAACCACGAGCCTGCTGCTCCTTTAGGTATATGAAACGGTCCAGTCTTGGCAACCAAGCAGACCCGAGTTCAAATGCGGGTCGCTCTGCTTCCAAACACTGTGACCTTTGAAAAGTCCTTGAGCCCTCTCTGTTTCTTCCTTCCCCCCTATCTTCTGGAGCTGTCACAAAAGTAAATTAGAGCGCATAAGCAAGGGACCAGAACAGAGTGTGAGGACAAGGACGCAGCCATAACTGCAGGGCCGGGGAGGTGGAGGGCGTGGGGCAGGGCAGCCCCACAGCTGTGCTTTCTCTCCTCTGCCCGCTCCCCGCAGGCTACGGCCACGCGGCGCCCAGCACGGACGGCGGCAAGGTGTTCTGCATGTTCTACGCGCTGCTGGGCATCCCGCTCACGCTCGTCATGTTCCAGAGCCTGGGCGAGCGCATCAACACCCTGGTGAAGTACCTGCTGCACCGCGCCAAGAAGGGGCTGGGCATGCGGCGCGCCGACGTGTCCATGGCCAACATGGTGCTCATCGGCTTCTTCTCGTGCATCAGCACGCTGTGCATCGGCGCCGCCGCCTTCTCCTACTACGAGCACTGGACCTTCTTCCAGGCCTACTACTACTGCTTCATCACGCTCACCACCATCGGCTTCGGCGACTACGTGGCGCTGCAGAAGGACCAGGCGCTGCAGACGCAGCCGCAGTACGTGGCCTTCAGCTTCGTCTACATCCTCACGGGCCTCACGGTCATCGGCGCCTTCCTCAACCTCGTGGTGCTGCGCTTCATGACCATGAACGCCGAGGACGAGAAGCGCGACGCCGAGCACCGCGCGCTGCTCACGCGCAACGGCCAGGCGGGCGGCGGGGGC